AGGACAGACGGACGTGTCCCCATGGATCCCCCTGAGGTGGGGCCGGGGGGATGGACGCAGCTCGGCGACACCTCGGCCTGCAGACCGCCACCTGCCTGCTGCTTGAGATTTGAGGAATCCCAAAGGAACTGGAAAAATCTCAAAAATGGTGTTTTCGTGCTGGAGCAGGCCGCAGGAAGCAGAAGGCCCAGGGTGCCCCAGCACAGTGCTCTGACCCCATCTACGGGTGGGACTGCTCGAGGCACAGCCGCACAATGGCAGGGGGCGAGGGGACTTCTGACCCCCTGCGAGCTCCATTTTGTGCTGTGGTGATGTCCCAGTGACCAAGGCCGCTACAGCACCGGGAGTGTTTTTGGCAGCAGTGTAGGACTGGCTGATGAGGAAGATCACAAAACCTCACAGGAAACACGTTACCAGCACAGGCAGCATTGCCTGGTCACATCTCTGATAGACTTATTAATAAATATTTATTAAGCATTATAAATTAATGAGATTGTGATGATTACAGACCACAAAATGCTCCCAGACCAGGGCATGAAATTGACCTTTTCAAGAACAAATGCAAGCATCCTATCGAGGAAAGACCCTCCATCCATCCCATCCTCAGGCTCGGATGGGATTAAGGAAGCCCAAACCCAACCAGCTAGAGCCCTTCCTCCCACCCCCAAAACTCACAGTCCTCACCTCCTCACACTCCTACTGAACAACAACCGACGGGGAGGGCACCAACTTGGAGGTTTTCCTTCCTCCCCTTCCCCAAAACAAGCATCCCCATCAGCATCCCAGCAGGAAGGGGACGTGGAAAGGCCAACCCACCATGGTGCTCATGAGGATGTCGGTGCAGTCGGGAAGGTCTATGGCCGGCGCATCAATAAAGGTGTTTTGTCCCGCCAGGTCTTCTTCAAGGCTCTTGGCCGTCCGGAAGGGGACTCCGTCCAGGTAGCTCATTATCACCACCGATTTCTTGCTGTCTAAAAGGGGGGGGGAATAAAAATGTCAATGGAAGGACTGGCACCTGTGAGGGAGTGAGGATAACACCTGGCAAATTTTGTGGGGAAGGAGAGAAAACTGAGCTGTTTCAAGTGACTCTTTGGGAAGAGGAAAAACTCTGTGCACACCGCCCAGATTTGCAAAGTCTTAATTCCTAGATAGCAGGAAGATTTTCTCTAAACTATCCTTTGCCATTTGGAGCTTGAGTCTCCTGACCAAGCTTATGGCTTCATTCAGCAGAGAGCCTGAGCATTTTTCTCCTCCGCTTCCACCCCTTTGCCACCCCCATGCGTGCCTCATTGCTTCCCCAAGCAAGGCACTGAGCCCTTTTCCCAGCTGTAGAAGCAGAAACCGCTCTACAGAAGCTTCTGTAGAGCTCCTGCCAGCTCCTCCTAAGGGGAGGAGGAGGTGAAAGAGAAGGAGGAGGAGGAGGAGATCACCTCCCAGTGACCTGGGCTGGGTGGCAGAGACGACACGTGGCCGCCACACCACTCTGAGCCATCACGTGGAGCTGCCACATCAGGGGAACCATCCCCGTGTCGCTGTGTTACTGGGCTGGTGTCCATTGCTCTCCCCAACACAGAGCTACAGAAGCACCTGCATTTTATTCCTATTTTCTACCTTTATTCCTATCTCCTACCTTTATTCCTATTTTCTGCTTCAGTAGCTTTTGCCAAGGTTCGCGTTGGTGCAAGCCACGGTGTTAGAGGGATGCTGAACGAGCCATTTTAAGGGGAGATTAGCTTCTAAGAACCAGCTGCTCGTTTTAAGCACCGTGATGTGTTTTAGGATTAGGAATGGCTGGGGAGAGAAAAATTTCTGATGAACTGGGAATGGTGGCATGGAAAATATTACTGCGATCGTGTAGCCATCGGTTCTGCATAAATGACTCAGTTTAGTAAAAAATAAGCCACTACTTCTTACATCTAGTCCCAAGTCCCCAGCGATGACAGCGCACAAAATAGTTTCCTTTCTATAACGTCGACTGGCAAGAACCTGCCGTGATGGTAAGTCTTCGTCTGACTTCTGGAATCTGCAGCCTGTTTGTCCCGGTCCTCACCAGTCATGCTGGTCATAAGGCAAACACTTTGTGTGACATCTGTAGCCATGGAAGTGTCTTTACTTTTTTTTTTTTTTCCCCCTTTAGAAAGGAATGGCCTCTATGACGATGAAGATAAACACTCCACAAAAAGAAAATAAGCGGCAGAACGTATACAGAACAAAAAAGCTGCCTGATAATTTGATGTAAAAATAAGGAAAATGGGAAACGGCATTCGAGAAAGGCAGCTCCTTACCTTCGGAAAGGAATGAGACAAACTGCTTCGAATTAAGAGCGAAACACATGATAGCTTGGCACCACTTGTTGCTCTGATCACAACTCCAAGGAGCTGTCACCCAGCTGCTGACGCCAGGAGCCCCAAATCCCCGCAGCCCCTAACCAGCTTGGCCGGCCCCGCACGTGTGCTGCCGCGAGCCCGCGCCATGCAACGTGCCAGGAGCCATCTGCTGCCCAGCCTGAGAGGGCTCAGCCCAGGTTACAATCCGTGCAAGTGCTGACGAAGGGAAGGCAGGGAAACATCTGTCATCAAAGCCACGTTGTCCCCGTTTTCCCCAGCTCGTCAACGTCACGGCGCGGCCCCTGCCGGCTGCGGGCGGCCCGGTTTGGTGCGAACCCACACGTCCCGACAGCTGTGCAGCACCTGGAACGGTCTCCAAAAGACCCAGGCTCGTTTACAGAGAAAAAGCTGTGTTGTAGGGTGCAGCATCAACGTGGTTAAGGCCATACCAAAGTCCTGCTGTCCTCATACAGGAGCAAAACAGGCCCCTGGTGCCCTCAGCTGCTGTGGTACTGTGCTAACAGCGGGCACTAGGAAAGGCTCCCACTGATATTAACTCCCAAACCAGCTGCTTAGAGAAAAAAGGGGGGAAAAATCCATCAGGGTGAGGAGCACTGACTGTGGAAATGCTCCTAGACAGGAGCGGGTGGGGTCACTTGTAAATACGGCTCACACCAGAAAGCAGCTTCTGCCATCGCTCCGACCTCCGCTGCTTCGCACCAGCCCCTGCCCAATTTCACGTTACAGGCAGGCTGGCAAAGGAGCAGGCACCCATCAGGACAGGGTGAGCCTTACAAGAACAAGAAACCCAAACTGCACCGAGACCCGGGAAGGAACAGGATGCAAATGAGTCCTGGAAACTCGTAAATAACCCTTCTTCTTGTGGGATATTTGTTGTTGCACTTACAGTAGTAGTAAATACCTTACTATACTCAGACAAATCTGAATCTTAAGAGTGAATCTGAGTACACAAAGGTTTGTTTTTGTTTTTGTCCCCCCCCTCCTTTTTTTTTTTTTTTTTTTTTTTAAGAATCAATGGCCCATCTCCCATGTATTTTGGGAGTATTTTACAAGATTTTTGAGGTTTCAGCCACTCCTCTTCCAGCTGTGGCTTCAAGTTCTTCCTCTCTTAAAATATAAAATGTTTTAATGCAGACATCATTAGACAAGAGCGAATACACAGAATAAACCACAGCAAGCTTGTAAGATTGAATTACACCTTAACAACTTGCTGGCATTTTCAATTATTGTTTTTATCAATCATATAAAGTTATCCTTACCGTTGGATGCAATCACGTAGCTCGTCTCACACGGCAGGGAGAAGAGGGTTGCTTTTACCCTGCCTGCTTATCCACTGCTCAGGTCTTTAAATTGTTGCACAGTCAGACAAGCACCTGACTCCGACAGCTTCAAGATTACAGCAGCTTAGGCGGTTAGCCTGCCTCACCAGACATGTTGATGGGATAAGGAGCCTAACTATTTAAGCAGAGCATCCTCTGGTCACTTAGCTTCTTGAATTGAAAGTGTTGGTCCCGCAAGAGTTTTTATGCTGTTTGAACTTTTGGTGGTTTTTTGGTCAAATAAGACCCCCAGGACCTGACCTAGCCATAAAGACCTTGGAGCAAGATGAAGCTGGAAGTCATAGTAGGGAAGGGGCGAAGTATGGACATGCAAATCAGAACCCAAATCTTTAGGGGACTTCATGGTGATCTGTATGTTGTGGTGCAATATACACTGGAGCAAGAATCGCAAACTTCTGCACTTAGACAAATCCTAGATCCGTCCTTATTAACAGAAATCAGTGCAAAGCTTCAGCCACTGACATTACACAGAAGCCCAAAGTTAAGCGCTGAATTTATCAGCTCAAGAGTAGGCAATGATGTGCTGCCTCCTCCAGGAATTACACAATGCTGTGATGCTGAGGTAAGGAACTGGAAAAACTGAATCCATTCCCACACATTAGGGCTAAGTGAGAATAAGACTGCAACACTGGAAAGATGCCACAGCAATCTGCGTAGACAAGCAAAGCCCCAAAACCATATGGGCCATCGCTGTTTTAAGCAAATTGTCCAGGACATGGAAGGCTTTGAAACCATAAGCCTGTGTCACCTTGTAGGAGGGAGAAGTTCCTTCACACAAACCTTTTGCCAGCAACTCTCTGCATAGCTTGGGTTGTATTCGATGCCAAGTACTAGAACAAATCTCTCCCTAGGAGCAAAAACACTTCAAACGAAAAAAAAAATCCATTTTTCTCTGTTTATTCTGTACCAAAAAGAATTAGAAAACAGAGCTGCATTTTTAATCAAACGTTACATAAATGATTTGTCTCTATAGAAAATAGCTATAGAGGTAAAAATATTTTAAATAGGTTAAACTTCAGATTGTATTTTTTTTTCCAGCAGGCTTATTTATCAGATTTATATATAATCACGTCTGACTGACTTATTTCAACACAACAGGTAATATTTTCCATGTTGTGGTACCAGTTTTAGTCCACAAAAGCAAAATGTCAACAGCTGCTTTAATCAAGCTTTAAGAACTTATATCTTGTTTGTACTTAGAATTTGTTTAAACTTGTACTATGTTCGTTTCTACGCACAGAAATACAGAAACTATTTTGAAAGCAATGCTTGACATGCTTCATTTAAAAAGAAAAACATGTTACTAATGATCTTTTTTTTTTTTTTTAAACAACGTTTTTATTTCTGGAGATTTCAACATCTTGATTTAGGCTTATAAAGATAAAAGTTACTAAAAATAGCACATGAATACCAGCACAAATAACCTTGTCAGCAATGTTACTTTATTAAGATAGAGATTTGTTAACAAAAACTCACAGCAGGATTGTAACTCTGTGCCACAAGAGGCCTGACAGCTTTGGACTTGCTCAGATATTTCCCTCCAGAGTCAGAAAACAAAAACATCTCTTACTGTTTTCGTCAAGATATTCCAGTATCTGGCCACAGGCTTAACGACCAGAAACGGGACCCAACGATGAGACCTTATCGTCCTTCAAAGATAAAATAATTTATTTCTAAATTATCTGACAGCAGTGGCCCAAGTGTCGTTTGTGGGGAGACTTGGAAGAACCCATCCTGGAGGGATGCAGCTTCCTTCGGGGTGATCGGCTGGCACCAAGTACTGATCCCACTCGTGCCTTTAAGAGAGAAAGTCTTGTTTGAGAGGAGCAGTAAGATTATACACCTACATACATATTTGTTCACGCCAACCAATGCACAAAACAATTGTAAACTGTGCTCTGAAACATTTTTTTCAAAGCACAAATGTGAAAATTTTAATATACTTATACAGTAACGGCAATGGTTAGCCATGAAAGCGCACTCTGCTTCACAAGAGTGTCTGCTGGATACAACTTTATCAAGCTAGAAGGTAGATAACGTAACCAAAAAAGAAAGGAAAAAAAAAAAGAAAGCAGAAGAATTCATTGCATAATCATACTTGGAAGTTAATGACAGAACTAAAATTTTACAGCCCCAACAAACAGTACTTGTCACGTTAGACACTGAAATAAAATCTTCATTTCTACCTGATCTGGATTAGAGCTGCTACAGAATGCTCGGCTTGTAAGTAATATTCTCTGAAGGGTTGCAGTAGATCGGCAAGAGGAAATTCATCTGTTAAAACACAGACAGAAATCATTCAATAAACCAGAGACACCTTTGATTCTAAGAAGTCTTAGAAGCCCCAGATTTGCCAACTCATTTGTTACTCCCCAACCTAACTTGGGATCTTTAACTACACAGCATGTTAAGGACTATTTAGATGCTTTGCACATCTCTTCATCCTTCCCAGAGCTGTCAGAGCTTTGACTCTGTCAAAGTCAAGGCTAGCAAAACTTTTTCCTGCCTCCATCCTCTAAATAAGGGGAACATATGGGCGCTGAATCTTTACAGATCACCCAAGTCACACTTACCAAGTCACCAAACTAAAGCATCCACTGGGTGCAGGAAGTCTTCAATCTACTCTGTTTATTCCTACTTCAGCTCATCTACAACCTCTTCTTGCAAAATGTTATGGAGTCAGCTTGAAATATACTGCAGCCTATGATGAAGAGCTCAACAGTTCTTCTTGCATCACATTTGTTAAAAGCAGTTAAATTATTTCTCTCTGTTTATCCCGTCTTTTTCTCTAAGCATAAATTATTTCAGATGACTTCTTTCCCAGCTATTTTTGCTCCTGTAATTTAAACCCAGTGCCTAAGAAACAAATACAGTGACGTATGGCACGCAGGATCTACCTGGATCCCCAAACAGCTTGGAATCAATTTCACGTTTCTGCTGTAGAAGTTTTTCCCTTTCCTTCTTCTGTTTCTTCTCCATTTCTCTCTTCCGTTCTTCCTCCTGCTCTCCCTCCAACATAACTCTTAATGCTCTCTCCTCAGCTTCGTACAGCTCTGTCCGGTTTTTTAGCAACGTTTTGAGACTTTCTACTTGACTTTCAAATGCTTCGTCTGCTGAGGGAGGCGGACAAACACCTAAAGAGAGAAAGAATTAACTTAAAACTTTCAGATTCAGAAGAGGCCCTGTTAGCAGACTAAAGAGTGGAGCTGGCAAAACACGTCAGAGAAGCATAAGCCTAACCTTGCTAACAATTATCTTGACAGAAGAATTTTCTGATAAGGAGGAGCTCGGAAATGTAGGAATGCAGCCACTGCATCCAACGTGCTGTTCAGCATTTTATAACTATTCTCGCAGAACGATGTAACTAAACCCACTGATTAAGAAACAGCTTTTCCAAACTGCACCTTCCCCATCACATTATTTCCTGCAAGCACAAGTAGAAAAGTTTGGAAAAATTCTCCTAATTAACCTTTTCTGCCAGCAGCCTCTTTTCTCAGTTTCCGAAGCTTTTCTAAGGCACGCAGGATGTCCATCATTCGCTTTGTGTCTGCTTGCTTCTTCCTGACCTCAGATAAGACACTGTCTGCAGCAGCCTTAAGCTCCCGCTCCTGAAAGGAAAGGAAAAAAACAGCAATGCATGAAGTATCCCCCACAGACAAGAAAAGGTACTTTTAAAAAGATGAGCAAAGCCCTGGAGATCAAAATAACTTCCTAGTAACACAACCATAGCAAGTCAGTCAAGCATCTGATCTCCTTTATCAAAGTCAAAACCTAATAGACTTTAGGAGAAAATAAATAAATGCTCTGCCACTCATAAATTTGGGCCAGAATGGCTGTTGAATTCATAAAGCCCAACAGCCTTTAGCTTCAGAAAGTTAGCAAAAACATACAATAAATATAAACCACACAGGTTTCACAGCTGTGCAGTTACAGCCCATTACCATGGCAGAGTCTGAACACAAAAACCTTTCACTACAGCTGCTCTGCACCTCCCGAGCAACCGGCCCAGCACCCCTACAGCGGTGAATCTTTGACTGGCAGCCAACCAACAGGTGCCTGCAACACTTCACATCGTGCCTAATTTGAGAGCTTTGTTGGTTGGTTGATTTTTTGTTTTGGAGCCGTTTTGCTTCCCCACAAGACAGAAAACCTTGCAAACAAGCTTCGTAGGGACAAAGCAGGTGGCAAGGCCAAGGCACCAAACCGCCGCTGGGTAGCTGTGGGCGCACGGCAGCCACTGAGGCACGGGGAGGCTGCGAGCTCAGGACCACAAACCGAGACCTCTGTGGGCACCTGAGCTCATTTAACTGCACCCGCCAGGCCAAGACATGGCTGTGGCACATCCGAGACGTCCAAAAGGGCTTCTCCAGAAGCCACCAAGGGCTGAGAGCACCGCTGAACCTCCTGTGCCAGCAGGAGCCATGAGGCCGAAGGCTGGTTTGAGGCTGGTGCAGCACCTGTGGGGTGTGAGGGGACAGCAGGACGAGGCCGTACCCGGTTCTTCTCCTCCACCTCCTGGATGCACTTGGCTCTCCACCGGTCGATCTCAGCCTCCCGCTCGGCAGCTCGGGCGGCCTCCTCCTCCTTGGCCGCCTCAGCCTCCTGCTTCCTCCTTTGGAGGCGCTGCCTCCTCTTCCTCGCCTTCTCAGCCTTCCTCCCCAGCTCCTGCAGGTAGCCGGGCTCCCTCAGGGGCCTCACAGCCTCCTGCAGCTCCGACCTCGCCGCCTCAGCTTCCAGCTTCACCTCGCTCCATCCTTCCTCGTCCCCCTCAGCCTCCAGCCGCCTCAGGGCTCGGCAGGCGGCAGCCAGGCGAGCCACCAGCCCCAGCGCCGTCACCGCCAGCCGCCGCCCGGCCTCGGGGCTGGCACCGGGGGACACCGGAGGAGGTACGAGGAGCAGTGAAAGGAGCCCGGTGACGGGCTAGGAACTGTGTCAGCCATTGCTCGTCCCGCTGCCGCTGCTGAGCCTCCTCCTCCGCCTCCGCAGCGCCCGGAGGGGCCCCGCGGCCGGCCGGGGGCCGCTCGCTTGAGGGCCACGGGGGAAAGAGCGGCGGGGCGGCGGCGGGGCGAGGAGCAGGGAAATAGGGAGCGGCCTCGGGGGGCAGCAGGAACGGCGGGGGAGCCGCCGACACAGCCGGGAAGGGAAGCGGGCGGCCCGAGAAGGACGCGGAGGGAGCAGGAGGAGGAGCGGGGGGGAAAGGCCCCGGGGGGAAGGAGCGGAACGGAGGCGCGAAGCGGCCCGGGAATGGCGGCGGCGGCGGGGCCGCCATCTTGGGGAGAGGCGGGGGCGGGAGCGGGGCGGGGAGAGCAGCCCTGGGGCCTCGCCTCAGACAGGAGGAGTTTGTGGAAAGGGCTCCCTTGGGACTGGTTTTAATAAAAGCAGAGGACAGCTTATGGGGATGTACAGGCGTATTGTGAAGCTTCATGCATACATAACTCTTTGCTGCATATAACCAAGGCGAGTTGCCACATCAGGTGCTTTGGTGGGACTACCCCCGTGCTGAATAAACACCTACCAGCATCACCTTTCTTCATTCATCTGCATCAATTTAAAACCAAAAAAGCTAAAATCTGGAACAAAACAAACCTTGAAGTCCAACAACAATATCCAGAGACAGCCCCCAGCCACACGTGGGTCACCACCACTCCTGTCCAGCCCAGCGTCGCTCACGGAGGACACATCTCTCTCTCTGTCGTATTCCACTTTGTTTTATTCAAACGCCAGCAGTGAAGTACAAACTGTAGTTACACAGCATTTGTTTCCTTAAAAACAGTTCTTGGTTACATAAGGCGAAACAACTTCCAAAACTAAGTTGTTCAACAGTTTTGCCTAAAACGTTTCTCCACCCCCCCCAGCTCCACTTAAAAAAGGATTAGAGTTAAAGAATTGGGAGTTAAAAGCGGTTGGTTATGTTCTTCACTCTACAAAAAGGAAAATGAGGATAAAGTTACAGGCAGATCACCAAAGATTTCGATTTGAGGTGACTAAGCATCTCTTAGAAACGTCCTCAATTCTAAAAGCAGCTTTTTCTGAACCATTAACAGGTCATTTAACCAGAAAAAAACATGAAATCCTAACAAGCATTTGTTGCATCTGGCTAAAACTGCTTTCTGTGTAGGAACACAAGTATTACAGGACCATCACCTAAAATTTACATGACAAAAATTAACGAAGAACAGGGCCAACACATCTGCAGTACCTTTCCTTACCTAAAATATCTACTAGATGGAAAAGAATGATGCAAGTTTTATTTAATTAGCGTGAATTAAAATTTTAAAAGGCCCAGTAAAACCTAAATCCGTGTATCACTGAAGGACAAAACCAAGTTGTAAGCAACAATTTTAATTCCTGGAACAAATTAAAAACATACAGGTCCTTTAGTGTTTTTTTACAAAGACTTTCCTAAAGGATTTAATTTATTTTGATGTGAAACAGAAGAGGGAGGATTGCTTGCTGTGAGACTAAAAATCAAAGACAAAACCACAAGATGCAATACTAGCATTTGAGCATATAACTTAAAAGCACTGTCATGTGAACAATCACTACTGATTACATCAAAAATATTATACATTTACTTCTTTCATCTCAACATTATAAGATAGGTTGGGCAAATACCTGGCACCAAAAAATTGATGCATGATAGTTCCAATACGTTAAACAAAATGTACTATATTAGAACATTAATATTTAAAAATTTATGCCAAGTTCTCTTCGAAACTCAGATGGCTTACCAATTCCTGGAAATCTTATTTATCCTTCTGGAAAAAAATGAGCAAATTGTTAACTTCACCTTCTTTCACGGTTCTCCAGGTGACTAAAACTGACTCCTAATGGAGAGGTGAGCAATAGGATGTATTTGATATTGCATCCAAATTAACGTAACAAGCTAGTGTTACATTTAGCAAAGTCTCCCAGCAGTGTCCATAAAGTGTCCCCTAGTTTTTTTCAAAATCCTGTTGCAAGGGCTTCCTCCCACACCACATGTAACAAGTCACTCCAGCACCCGCTGGGTGTCAAACACCAGCAGAAGTCTAACACTGACCTGAACACAACCCCGTGCGAGTCACATGAGGAGCTAGTAGTTTATTCACCCTCTACTAATTATTAAACTTGTTTTCCCATTTGTAGAGTAACATTATTGTAAAATCTAACTACTGGTAGTACCTGCATTGCTGTTTAGTTTTTAGAAAAAGCAATTCAGGTGTTGCTATATTTGCTATACATTTTAATTGAACAAATGTAATATACAATTCATATTTGAACATTATGCCATTCAAGTCCACACAATGTCCATCAAATAAATCAATGTGATGTCACAGTAAAATACACGATCTGATTTATCTAATAAGGTTCCTCATCACGTATCATATCCGAGATAGATCCAATGCTGTTAGTATCAGATTGTGAAGCCAGAGGCAAATCCTAAGGAAATAACCAAGTGCGCTTTATGCAGGAGAGCATTCTGACAGTATTTAATGGTTTGCAGCATCTGCTTGTCGAGGCCAGCCTTCTTCCTCAACTCCAGAGTCATATTCCTCTTCAGATGAATCTTTAGTGGGAGCCCTATAATTAAAATGAACTGATCAGATACTTTATAAAGTGAGGGGGAAAAAATGGAGACAGTTTCCATAGCTTGTGGTAAATATGCCACCTGTAAAGTGCCATGATGAAAAATGTTCTGACAAGCATGCCATCTGCTTAATGACCTTTTGATTTGAAAATGGTGCTTTGCACTTAAACTACTAGCATGCAGTCTCATTACTGAAAAAAATCAATCAAATCAATCAAAAAATTAAATTCAGTTAAATTTTCTGATTTACGCTGTAAATTTTAATTTTTCAGCAAACACGAGTGCTGGCGCTCTGCAAAGTAACAGAAAGCAACCATCACTGTAAGACTAACACCTTTGGCTTCCACCACTCCCTTTGAGAAATGAGGCACGCTGAGCCAAGCTTCATCAAAGGACACAGATAGACACAGAGCATGCATCTCAGTGGACAAAGTCACAGAAAAGTTTCTAGCAGAGGTGGAAACCAAGCTGAAGTTTCTAAACATCATTCCTCTTTTTTTTTTTTTTTTTTTAAGCCTGACCCATTCCCTCTCTACTCCACTGCCTGTTCACTAAAATTATTATTTTTGCCTTTAAACGTAGACTTGTCCAGTGCTTTCAGTGCTCTACAACATCATTATCATATTACAATCATTACCACATTGATTATTTTAGCTAGTGCTCAGCAAATCAATAAATGCTTCGTTTTGGCTCTCCACTAGCTGTAAGAGTAATGGAGGAGAAAACTGCTGCAGCCCGGAGCATGCATAAAAGTATACCTCAGTGTGGTAGAAGCTAGAAGGAAAGATTCTGCTTGAGAAACTTCAGCACATTTAAAACTTCAGATTTTTACTGTTATCTTTTGATCCTGATCATTTACTTTATTTCTACAGGCATATACACACACGCACAAGGTTTCAAGTAACTTCATGTATGTTTATTTTTTACTTTCTATTTAAAAACTGAAGAAATACAAACCCAAGGTCTCTAGGACAGAATAGGCACTAAGTCAACTGTGTACAGTATACAGATATTGGATCCTATTTAGGTTGTGTGCATGGTTTTGTGTTAATGAACTTGTTCCTATGGCAAACATCAGGATCCCTAACTGTATTATTCATCTGTTCTCATACTCCCATTATGGTTTTACCTAATGTATCCTGGCTCTTTTTTGCCTTCTACAACATCTTTGTCAACTTCCACGCATACGATGTCAGAATTGGGCACTTCAAACATGGGCTCCAGCAACAGCTTTTCCTACAAGAAAACAGAAAAAATATTTCCGTATGCCATCATCTTCATTTCAAAAAATAAAAATAAAATATGGTTAGCGATTCTCAGGGCTAGAGGTTTTACTTGAAGGAAGAAATCTGGATACACACATTTCTAGGAAGAGATTTATTGTATCTATACGAGATCCCAAACCAAGTAAGGCTTTATCTGTAAATTGTTATGATTAAGGCCACATGCATGAATGAATATGGGTAGCTTCATTTACTCAAGATGAAACTTGATTTACTTACCATTATGGATCGCAGACCTCTTGCACCAGTTTTTCTGTCCAGGGCCAGTCTGGCTATAGCCTTCAATGCATCTTCAGTTACATTTAATTCACACTATATCCAGAAATATAGTAAGTTTAGTTAATTATTGTACTTATAACTCAATAGCACATTAAGAATTAAATAGTTAACAAAATTTCATTCATTTCACAAAGTCCTATCAAAAACCAAAAAAGCTTCAAGTTCTTACTCAATACTAGTATTGTGTATGTTAACTCCTCATAGAACGATGGTCTCAGCAATCAATGTGCAAGTTTTTAGAGCTTATTGTCAGGTTAAATCTGGTTTGGTTGCTTGGCTGTTTTCCCCCCTCATCATCTAGCAAGATGTAGGAACAATTTCAGTCTTTAAAGCAGGGGCTATACACATCTGAGTCAGTGTTATTCCTTTTCCTGCAAAGCTGCTACGTACAGTAAGATCGTTTTCTTCAGCCACAAAACACAGTATCTTTAGAGTGAGGCAGCTTTTTAATATTGTACTTTATAAAGAAGAATATTGAAAAGCTGTCAGAAGTGCAAACCTTATCCATGCTGAATAATGCCTGGTACTGGGGGACCACAGCATTTCGTGGCTCAGTAAGAATCCGTACAAGGGTTTTCTCGTCAAGGCTGTGCAGAGGAACCACAACAGGCAAACGTCCCACAAACTCAGGAATCATGCCGAATTCAATGAGATCTCTGGCTTCCACATGACGCAGCAAGCGATCCTTTTCTTCTATGTCTTCATGTGTATTGGACTCGCCACTTATATTTGCCAGATCAGCTGCTGCTGCAGCCCTTCTGCCTTTTCCGATATTAGATGGTGTCCCAAATCCTAGATACTGCAAAACAAACATGTTGTGCTTACATGAAGTTTTCTTTATGTAACTAAATCACGATGCAGGTGTATAAAAAATGGTGTGACTGATTATGTCATTTACATATTAATTTAAGCTTAAGAAATTACTTTGAGTAAAATTATCTCCCTTGCACAAAATCCATTTCTCATATGTTAATACCTTACTGGGGGAATGAAATGTTAGACTGAGTAAAAAAAAAATATACCAAATATTAGTATACAAAACAATAAAAAATGTATGATTAAGCATTTTCATAAGATGATAGCTTTTAACACCATTTACGCAAGATTTCCAACTATCTATTAAAAAAGTAAAAGCTTTTTTCTACTGACATACAAAGGTTTTC